TATATATATATATATATGTATATACACAAATTTTTTTATGTATATTGTCTTTTTATTTATATATATATTTTTTATTTTGAATTTATTTTTGTAGGTTTTCGAGCAATAGGGTGTGGAGTATTCTTATCACTTCTTGCTGGTTTCTTAATTAATTTCTTACTTGGTTATAGCACACAGCCAGTAAGAGCTTATTCCCTCTTTTATTTAAGGGTTTTTTAGATATTTAAATACTCCAAAAGTAAAAGAAATGCCAAAAAGAGGAAGCTTTACATGCATACCACTCAATTTTTATGTGTTTACAGATCTAACTTCAATTTTACATACATGCCGCCTTACCTATGCACAAAAAGATGTGTTTTATCATTTAAAAGTTGAAATGGTGGTATCTTTGATGTCATATGAAAGATTTGATTGGTGTAAATGTAAAAAAGTAAAATTTAGGTGTTAGATATGTAAATGCATAAATAGCAAAGGGGTGGTATGTATGTAAGTAACAAGGTTCCAACGATTCTTCTTCCTTGCCTAACAACCATACAAATTTTATTATATGTATTTTATAGTATATCAAGGAAACTAAATGCTTTAAAAATTAAATTTTTCTCATGTATTTTGTATACATTAATTAAAAAATAGAAACTAAAGAAGATTTAGATTTACTTATTGGACAAATATGATATATCCTTTATATTATTTGGTTTTCATCATGGGCGAACTCAAATTTGAATTTGTATATATAATAAGAAGGCAATTTGGTGTTTTGCTGCTCCTAAAATATCAGTTTTGACTCTCCTGAATTTTCACTTTGTCATTCGTTGTCCCTCCTGCTAATTACTTCGTTATGTAGGGGTGGATACCCTCTCCTCTCCTACCCATCCACATAAGAAACATACATAAATGCAAGCATGGAAGTGACTCTGAAACATATGATACAGAAGGAAGGTGCAATTTCTATTATTATTACTCTTTTCTCCTCTTCTTATATATATACATCTTTTATAACATTATAATAATAAAGAAATAGCATCATTTCATTTGTTCTTAATGTAGGTTTGACCCTGCAAAATTTGATGCAATTTTCAGTAAATATGCAATTACACATTCAGATGCATTAACAGGAGCTGAGCTCCACAAAATGCTTCAAGCTAATCGCAACCTCACAGACTTCATTGGAAGGTTGGTTGGAATCTAACTAATAATGCTTTTAGATTTTTAACCTTTGCCAATTTTACAAATGCTTTAGTTTGTTTGGTTTGAAATTTTTCTATTACATAATGCACCTACAATTTAAGATATGTAAATGCAGGGGTATAGCACGAGCGGAATGGCAGTTGCTTTACTCGCTGGCAAAAGATGAAAGAGGGCTGCTGCACAGAGACGCCATCAGGGGCTTATTTGATGGGAGCTTGTTTGAGCAGTTGGAGAAGAAGAGAAAAGGAGAATAAATTATCATAATTAATTGCAATTTAAACCTTTCACATAATATTCTGCATTTTATTTATCAAAAAACATGCAAAGTAACATTTAATTCATGCAGGGAGAAATAGTATAAAATGAATGTTTTTTTAATTTTCATGTTTATTTGCATATTGGTGCTGATAAAGGTTTTATTTGTGAGAACTCAAATACGTGTTAAGGATTTCTGTAAATTGTTTGGTGTTTATATGTATGAATGGAAAATCACAAGTTGTTTCTTGTTTTAGTTAAGTGGTTGTTTGATTGGGAAAATTTATTGTGTAATGTAACTCTATTGTAAGGATTTTAAAAAATTTGGTGTTTTCATTGTAATGTAACCCTTCATTTCATAGATTTCATGATATATATAGACATCAATGGTATAAGACCCCTCAGGTCTAGAGTTCGAATCCCCTCTGGCATAGTTGGTTTTAAGGAGGTGGCACTCGAATTGTTAGACACATTATGGGCGGCTGAGGCTCGTATAATAGCCTCTTGTCATTCCTTTTCAATATATATATATATTGCGTTTCCTGTTCTGTTGGTTGTCATCCATGGTATAAGACCTCTCAGGCTGGGGGTTCGCATCCCTTCTGGCGACGTGCACCGTAAGGAGGTTGTACTCGAATTATTTGGTACATTAGGAGTGACTGGAGGCTTGTATAATAGTCTCTAATCAAATTTTCCTAAAAAGCATATATGAAAGAGTTGAAATGAAAAACAGTTTAAGCTAAGCGGAAGATGCAATGAAGAAATATTAACTTCTTTTTGTATGTCAAGGAGAAACCATTTACATTACAATAGCCACCAAAATTTATCATAGGTTGGCTTATACATTAACACATAATGAATTTATTATACACGAATCTTAAGACATATCATTTCTATTTCACTTTCGTGTGAATATTTTAATTAATGTTATCTTAATAATGTTCTGTTTAAGGTTGTGAAAGCAGGATCAGATGTTAAACAGAAAAAAAAGGGTTCGAGGTTCATTGGTTCGAACGGAGTTTAATTGGGATTGAATCGGATGACATAATAAATAAAAAAGTAATTAAATATAATCTGAATAAAACAATAGTAGATTTTTCTTGGGGAAAGGAAAAAAAATTATACTTACATATATATATATATATATATAATACTCAAAGGCTTAATACATGAGAATTGTGTGGTTAAAAACAAAAACTCTGGAGCTGAAGAAGAACATAAATATTTAATGTATTCCCAAACTTTTGTGGTTTGTAAGAACTACTAAACAGCAATTTACGGCCCATTAAGACAATTGGATTTTTTATAATTGAATGGGATTAAAATCTTCTAATAAGTGCAAACGATTTTCAGAAGATTAAAACCTGCAATAAAATAAATAATTTATTTTAGGCTCAAGTCAAGTGAGTAAATAGTCATAAAAGGCTCGTGTAATTTAAATATTTGATATATTGTTTCAATACATTGGTTGATATTTTAAGTGATGAGGTGCAAATTTGATATTTTGACTCGAATCACAAAAGTAAATCTCAAAACCGGTGTGACCATGCCCTAAGGTGGTGGGACCACACTAGCCAGATAGAGCGCACAACGTAGTTATGTGGGGTCTTGTGTGTGGCCATGTGGACCCCTCATCTTTGACACTTGCTACAGTGGTGTGACCACACCCGAGTTTGACGTGGCCACACCGACACAACCTGTTTCACGATTTCTATCCTTCGATCACAGGATTTTCGCCGGTGATACTGCTAGGATCACTGGACAATGCGTTTTGTCTAGTCCTTCACCCAAAAATGGTATGGGGTTAACCTAAACCCATTCCAAAAGACACAGCGTGGCTTGGAACCAAGGGATATATTCCCTGAGGCATAAGAAGTTTGGATCAGACTCGCTTGTGCGATCAGCTGGAGAAGGAGAGCAGGAGAGCTTTTGGAGAGAGATTGGAGGGGAAGTTTCTTCATCTTCCGTAAAGAGAAGGTTAGGGAAAAGATTTCTTCCATCTTCCTCCCCTTTTTCTTCTTATTTTTCTTCACTTCCGCCGTCACCTTCTTCATCTCCAGTGACTTCTAGTAAGTTGATCATAGAAGAGCTTCTTCATAGCATTGGAGAAGGAGAACTCCAACGATCTCTTCATTCTCTTTGGCGAAGAGAGCATATTCATCACTTTGGATAAGGACAAACTCTGGCCTTGTCCTACTCTCTGGTGAGGAAAGATTCTTCACTATCTTGGAGAAGGAATTAGGCTTTGTCAATGTCACCTCGAAGGAGCTCGAGCAAGCCCAGAGAATGTGCCATCAACCATCGTGTCCCTGAGATCTCATAAACTCTTGTGATTTTCATTCCTAGAGCCCCCTACGTCTGGATAGAGAAGTTAGGTTAGGATTTTTGTGTGTTTACAGGAAGACCCATAAAATTAGGTGCTTTGTGTTTTCCCCTATAAATCCAAAGAGTAAAACCTATCCTTTTTCTTTCTAGCCCAAAATTTGAAAGCGGTGTTGTGTTAATCTCGTTGTTTGCATCGTTGGTTTCATCCAGATGGACCCGAAAAAATGAAGGCATTCCTTTCGTCGCTGTCTTCTCGGTCATGGAGAGTCCCCATCTAGTGTCGTCCAAATGAAGGTGGGCATCTTGTTGCTTCGTATAATAAGATGTTGGTATACCTCTCCATCACTCATAGATTTCCTGTGAGTTCACTAAGAAAAATATGCATCGTTGAACCTAATCAGGTCACATACTGCATGTGTTTGCATTTTCATCATGTGCAGCACATGATTAATAAAATATGCATTAAAAACATCCATTTTTTCCATGTGTTGTCAATCGACCACCTCGATCGGCAATCTCTCCTGTAGATTTGATTGATCGGTCTCTATCGGCTCGATCGTATAGACCAACTAACCTTTGTTGATCGGTCGCACACCTTAGCCCAATCAACCATCTTCAGCCCACTCGATCGATCATCAATCACTGGTCTTGAATGGATTGATCGACCATTATTCATCGATCGGCCTCACACCCCGTCCAGATCGACCATCTTTGGTCCACTCGATCGACTAACTACCATTGGTTTGATCGCATCAATCGGCCATCCTTCGACGTTTGACCGTACACTCTGGTTTGATCGACCATGTTCGATCCACTCAATTGATTGGTCGCCACCAACTATATCGTATCGATTGAACATCCTTCATCGATCAACCACACAACCTAGCTCTATCGGGCATCTTCAATCTGCCCAATTGATTGATCGCCACCAGCCCAATCACATTGACTGACCACTTTCTGTCGATCAACTAGATCAACTACCCATGTTAGCTCAATTGACCACCTTAGTTGGCTCCATCGAACGACCACCACCGATCCAATCAACTGATCAACTCTTTTTTATTTAGTATGTTGCATCAATTGCATGCTTTTTCACATTGTTTGCATTAGCTCATCCACATTTGCACGCTGTAGTGCATTTGAGAGCATACACCCTCATATGCACGTGATGAGTATTTGTGCCTCCCAGCGACACATTACTGTATATATTTGTTTTTTGACATACTTATGTCACTTTGTATCATATCACGAGAGGTTCACACTTTATACTTTTGCATTCTTTCTCGCATGACATCTTGTGTGTTCATAACTTACATGCTTGAAGTTTTTTGCACTTGGACCCGTGTCTTCACACACTTACCTCACACATTCACAGATCATGTGAATGGATAGCTTGTCAACAAGCCCATCCAGTGCATAGTTCTTTCCAACAAGAATTTCATTACCTTTCACTTCCTATGACACCACTTAGGACTATCGTAGGAAATTTATTTAGTTACTGCTCCTTGCACACGTAGACAACACTGCTCCGGACTGGCGTAGGCACCTTCTTGAGTCACTGATCCGGACTGCCATAGGTACCTTCTTGAGTCACTGCTCCTCACGCACTCGCTCTGAGATCCATGTGTCATTCATGAGTCACTGCCCCTCGCACACTCACTTATGACACTCTGGAGTCACTGCTCCTCACACACATACTCATGTGTCTTCCTAGAGCACTGCTCTTTGCATAGTCTTTCACCTCCCATGACACCACTTCAGACCGTCGTAAAGCATCTTCCTCGAGTTACTGCTCTTTCAAACTCATTTCAGATGCCCATGTGTCCTTTTCAAGGATGGCTTGCACATCAAGCCTACTCGACCTTTGTTTTTCTATAGCGAGAAAATACATCACCTCACTTTCGTTGTGTGTCTTGCATGCACACCATCTCTTTTCCTATGACATCACTAACACATACCATAGGTATGCCACGTGGTATCACTTGGCGCGAATCCTGCTCTAAAGGGCCTTTGAATCCTCCAAGTATGTGATGATGTCCACTTAGCTACATGGTTAACACCTAGTATGGATCATGCTTCAAAGACCTCTGAATCCATTTAATGTGCAACTCATGTTGCCCATGGCGTCTCCTCAGCATGTCATGTGTTTCATATGTCTCAAGTTTTGCATTTGCATTTCTGCACTAGCGACACATTTGTCATCGGTATATGCCACCATATACTTATGACAAACATGTAATGTAACCCTTCATTTCATAGATTTCATGATATATATAGACATCAATGGTATAAGACCCCTCAGGTCTAGAGTTCGAATCCCCTCTGGCATAGTTGGTTTTAAGGAGGTGGCACTCGAATTGTTAGACACATTATGGGCGGCTGAGGCTCGTATAATAGCCTCTTGTCATTCCTTTTCAATATATATATATATATATATATATATATAT